CATTGTTATGTGTATTTGTGGTAGCCAAGTGGTAGATTTATTGAATAACAAACCGCAGTAACTTTGGGCAGGGTTTTAATAGAACAAGCCGATAAAGCTTAACAATAATTTGTTTAAAAAAATAAATAAATTTACTAAGAAGAGAAAATGCAGGGCAGCAATGAGCGGCAGAGTCAAGGGATAAGTCTGTTTTAAGCTTTAAATGAACTTCTTTCTCTAAAATTGACAGACTGTAGTGGCCACGTTTGCACAGCCATATCTTTGTCCAAATACATCGTCGCCTTTTCTTCTTAGGGCTTTTAGCACAAAATTGCACAAATTGTTAAATTATAGCTAAAGTCAGGAAAACTCTGAGGAGAGTCAAGCCAAGAAAGACCCCAGGCCCCGATAACATACTTGGGTGGATGTACAAGGAGTGTGCAGATCCGCTGGCTGGTGTTCTCACAGACATTTCCAACACCTCAATGGACTGATTTGTAGCGCCTGCATGCTTTAAGTCTGCCACCATCATTCCGCTCCCAAAGAGGCCTCAGGTCACCTCCCTCAATGACTACTGGCCTGTCGCACTGACTCCCATCATGATGAAGTACAGTAATTCGAAAGGTTGGTTAAACAACACATCGTCTCGAGTCTCCTCCAAAAATTCTACCCGTTCCAGTTCGCCTACCGATGGAACCGCTCCACCGAGGACGCCATCTCTTCCGACAGACCTCAGTCAGTCCAGGTCGGACAGAACACCTCTGATATCATCACCCTAAGCACACGCTCCCATCAGGGCTGCATCCTGAACCCCCTGCCGTTCACTCTGATGACACATGATTGCATCCTCAGCTTCACAACTAATCACATCATGAAGTTCGCTGACGACGCCATGGTGGTGGGCCTCATCAGAGACGATAATGACCAGGACTACAGAGAGGAGGTGGAGCAGCTGGTGAATTGGTGGAGAGATAACAGCCTGATTCTGAATGTGGAAAAAGGAAGGATATCATTGTCGACTTCAGGAAGAACCAGCCTAACAACAGTCCACTGCTCATCAACAGCTCAGCTGTAGAGGTGGTCAGCAGCACCAAATTCCTTGGGGTGCAAATAACAGACACCCTCAACTGGACTGTAAACACCACCTCACTGGTCAAAAGGGCATAGAAGCTCTTGTACTTCCTGTAGAGGATGAGAACCCCCACCCATCCTCATGACCTTCTACAGAAGCACAAGGACCCGCAGATTCCAAAAT